TGAGCTTCTGCAAACACCCATGGTTCCAGATGTCCGAAGACACAGAAATCCACCCCAAGATACCCAGAGTCCTCCAGCCACTCTCTCCATAACTGGAGGTCTCTATAACTGGAGGCTCTCTCCCGCGACCCCCAACCACCACGGGGACCTTGCCTCACGGTGTCCCTGGAGATACCCATTTGACTACAATAGTCCTGGACACCTCCGAACACCCGATTCATTTTTCTACAGCTTCTAGATTCTCCTAAGAACTCTAGATAAGAAACTTCCTGCTATATATCCTGGGACCTAGATATCAGGAGAACACGACCAATCCCCATATCCCTGAGACAGCTGATTTCTCCTCCAGGCATCCTAGGCAACCTCTGCTACGCCCCAGGAGTTGCCCATTTCCCTACAGGCCCCCAGAGCCCCCAGCAAAAGCCAAGTGCGACGTATCCTTCGTGTCTGGTGTCCCCTGATCCCTCTCAGAACGCCTCCCCAGACCCTTGGGACCCATCTCCCCACCTGATGCACCACCCCTCCGCTTCGTGTATGGGTAGGGGCCCTGGAGCTGCAGCCACTGTCCCTAGGTCCCTGCCCACCCCCGCCTTCACAGCTTGGCACCAGAGCCACTGTTTACCACCTGTAGGCTATAGAAGGTGAGGAGCAGACAGACGGGGCTCAATGCAGGCAGTGGAGGCTTTCTCCCTTTTCCACCCCTCTCCATCCCTCCTGTACCTCCTCTGGTCCCCCTAGGGTCCGCAGCACTCCCTGAGCCTGACTCCATGCCCAGTGGTGAGCACAGTGGATTGGAGCCTGCTGGGTGAGTTTTGAGCACAGGGGCTCGCTCACGTGTGGCCCGCCCAGACTTGGATGCGGCTGCAGGGACCAGTCCTTTGCAGGGCGCTCTGGCCAGCGCGGTGACCTACCTGGCCGTGAGCAAGAAGGCTTGGCTATGGGAGTCGCTAGAAATGCTTGGCCTTGCTCTGCCTCGGGCACTGCTGCTTCTAGTAACTGAGGACTCTGGTTAAAATTAAAAAGCCTGACCATGTTAAATGCTGCAGAAGACACAAAGAGTATCCTGCTGGTGGAAATGTGAAATGGCATAACAACTTTAGAAGATAGCTTGTCAGTGTCTTAAAAAGTTAAACATACACAAAACAGCCAGCCATTCTGAGTATTTACTCAGCATATGTCTACTCAAATACTTGTAAAAAACTGTTTGTGGCACCTTTATTTCTTGGCATATTCCTCTTAGGCTTCCATTGATAGGGAAAACTTTTATAAACAGCAAAAACCTATAAAGTGTTACAATGTAAAATGGCTTCTGCTGTCTCTAACAGCAGTTTGTTTTGTTTAGCTCAGAACTAATAGGCACGAAGGCACTAATTGCTGACTGAGGCATTTGGTCTCACCCTGAGATAACAGGGCACAGCAAGACCTTGAGCTCCCTGGAGCCACATGATTGTAACAGTGTCTAGATGAAAGAACCCATTGCTAACATTTGCTCCCCTGACCCTGAACACCCCCTTCCTATGGACTAGAACAGATAACTAGGTGAATCTTTTGTTTGTTTGTTTCTTTTTTGAGACAGGGTCTCACTATGTAGTTAAGACTGACCTGGAACTCACTATGTAGCCCAGGCTGGTCTTGAACTCACAACAATCCTCCTGCCTCAGCCTCTCCAGTGCTGGGATAACAAATGTACGCCACCAAGCCCAGCACTAGGCGAATCCTAACTCCCCAACTGCAAAGAACTGTTACGTCTGGGTTGAAAAGATTAACTATTCTGTGACCGTGATTTGAACTGTGAGAATGAAATGTAATCACCAAATGAAGTCAAGGCTGTGAAACCCTATAAAAGGAGGAGTTGTAACCCAGTAGGTCGTCAATCCAGGCACAGCTTATGTGCAATGGACCCTTATTGATGAGTAAATTTGTTATTTTACTTCCATTCTGCTGCCTCTCTGTGTACCACTTACTGATTCCTTCCTTAACACCATAAGAAAATATTACTGACTGCATGGCAGTAACAGCAGAAGTTTATTTCTCACAGTTCTGTAAAATGGAATTTCCAAGATCAAGATGCTGCCCGATTGAGCTCCTGCTAAAGATTCTTGGCTTGTAGATGGCCGCCCGCTGTGTCTTTGCTTTGAGTCACGAGTGAGAAAGTGACTGTCACAGAGACAGTACTCTCCCCCACAAGACTGCAGTCCCCTGACTAATGCCCTACCCCAAGGACCTCTTTTAAAGACTTAATCACCTCCTAAAGTCCTGTCTCCCGATAGAGGTACACTGGGTGTTAGAGATTTAGCCTATGAATTTAGCAGAGGAGGAGGACTCACAATTCAGTCCAGAACATGTGTTAATAGCTCAAAACTGCAAACAACCTAAAAGTCCATCAGGAGGTGAATGGATCTACAGTGGAATACATCTTAGCAATAAAATGAATGAATGAAATATGAATGAATCTCAAAATGATCGTGCTATGGGCTAGAGATGCAGATGAAAACAACACTGAGATTCCACCTCACCCCATAAAGAATTGCTGCTATCGGGCCGGGGATTTAGCTCAGCGGTTCGGTGGCCTACCTTGCCAGTGCAAGGACCCGAGTTCAATCCCCGGTACAAAAAAAAAAAAAAAAAAAAAAAAAAAAAAAAAT